TTGTACACCCCCTTCAGAGAATATTATAAGAGAGCGACAAAAGTGACATCAACAGCAGAAGGTGCATGTTTCCCAGCAANGTTTCAACGTCGAAGGCCGTAGTAACTTGTCGATGCTTGAGCTTTTGTTTTTCTGTACAGTCGAAACGTGCCGCCTCTTGGTTCCAAATCTTTGGAGCGGAAATTTGAAACATTATTGGTTCGTTTAAAACGGCCCTTAACCTGGTGTGTGTTGCTTCTAAGCGATCAATTCGAATATATCTATGCAACGGGCGTAAGTTGTACACCCCCCTCAGAGAATATTATAAGAGAGCGACAAAAGTGACATGAACAGCAGAAGGTGCATGTTTCCCAGCAGTCTCCACTGGAAGAAACGCACCACATGCTCCGGGGGATATATTGTCCCCCACTCCCTCCCGAGGAAGTTCTCTGGCTATTCCTCTGGAGTTTTTCTTTGGAATCCAAACCGCAATCCTCATAGGATTGCCCAAGAAAGCGGATCGNTTGGAATCCAAACCGCAATCCTCAGAGGATTGCCCAAGAAAGCGGATCCTCTGATTTGGTAAAAACGTGATCCTCCCCAGAGGAAACCCCTCACCCAAAACTCTGGAGGATCACCTTCCTAAATCCTCTGGAGGAAGTTGTAATGTATTCCCCGTGGAGTATTTCTTCCAACGATCCTCCAGAGGATTTCGAACAGTGATCCTCCAGGGCTTTGGGTGAGGGTTTCCTCTGGGGGGATAACCTTTTTACCAAATCAGAGCTTCCGCTTTTTTGGGCAATCCTCTGAGGATTGCCGTTTCACCTATCCTCTAGAGGATTTTGACCCTACCCATTTGTCTACCTGTGTGTAGCAAGGTACCGTTAGCTGTGTCACAGAGTGTGCAGGAGGGAGTGGGCGTATGTATGTACAGAAGCAGCACGAACGCGCACATTTATTACGACTGGCCCCGGTGTTGCGGTTAGGTATTGTGTATATGTGGACGTCTGTTGCTAACAATGGATCGTCAGTGAGAAAAGGTATGATATCGCAACGTGTAGTATCGCGGCATACGCGATTCGCAACACAACTTAACTGCGGGCGCTGCTGATCCGAAAACGAAATCCATAGCAACACTAGGTAACTGCGGGCGCTGGTGAGCGCAAAACGAAATCCAGCACTGAGCGCAACAACAAATCGCAAAACGAAATCCATGGCAAGACTAGGTTACCGCGGCGCAACACTAGGTTACTGCGGGCGCCGCTGAGCGCAAAACGAAATCCAGCGCTGAGCGCACAAACAAATCGTTTTACTGTTTGTGGGTGTAGTTTGTTCAGCGCTGTCGGCAATTCCCGTGTTGCCCATTCATTTCGCGCGAGAGATGCCGACATCGGCGTATTGGCATAATTGTGCCCCTGACAGCAGCTATTCGCCGAAACNGGTTACTGCGGGCGCCGCTGAGCGCAAAACGAAATCCAGCGCTGAGCGCACAAACAAATCGTTTTACTGTTTGTGGGTGTAGTTTGTTCAGCGCTGTCGGCAATTCCCGTGTTGCCCATTCATTTCGCGCGAGAGATGCCGACATCGGCGTATTGGCATAATTGTGCCCCTGACAGCAGCTATTCGCCGAAACAAAAGGCCGACCGCGAAAAATCTTGCCAATTGACCGAGAAGTTTACTTTTTTCATGGTCTCTGCGTCGACGAATCGCTTCGGACTCTGACAGCTGCTGAGTCGAATATTTAGTTAGAGCGGACTAAATGCGTTTTTCGTTGTTCGCGATGCCTGAGCGTGCGCCTCATCATTTGGTTTGTGCCACGAGGACAAAGGTGGTAACGCACAACACGCAGCAGGAAATTCGGTACAATACGAGATTATTTCCGCGCGTCGGGGAATTACAACCGGGTTATTGTAAATTACAACCGGGTTATTTCCACACAACAACCGGGTGATTGCGGTAGGCGCCCCCGAGAGTGCTTGGTTTGCGACGAGCAACGATGACAGACGCAACAACGTCGTGGCAACCCACCCGACGACAGCTGTAAAGCAACATGGGCCAGCTGAATGATTCACCGATCGTATGCACCCTGGGAACTGGCGTCGTTCTTGTTTCTGTTGAAAATCAAATGATCTGTTGAGCCTTCACGAGAATGTCGTTTTGTTCTAAACTCGCCAGTGATTGCAGGAGCGTGCGTAGACCTCGTAGACGCGACTTTGCGACCTCGCAACCTCGCGGCCGCGGCCGTACCGATCGCGAAAGGCACACGCGCCGGGCCCTCGCAACTCGAGGCTGCTGCCACGCGCAAGTTTCGCGGCAAATCGATGTCTACAGGCGGAGCAATCGCAAAAAAACAGCTCTCGAGCGCTGAGAGGGCACCGCGCAAGTGTGAAGGTATATACATGTCAATCAGCAGCAGCAGCAGCACAAGCCGGGAAATTTTTCACACCCTGGACAACTATCAACTATCAACTAACTAGTTAGTTGGTTTGGTCGGCAACTACTGCTAGTTGCCTCCAGACAACTAGTTGCCCAACATTTTGACCCGAGAGTTGTTTACAGACAACTAGTTGCCCAACATTTTGAACCGAGAGTTGTTTGCAGGCAACTAGTTGCC